ACCCTCACTCCCTTGATCTCAAGAGACGCACTAGCGACTGACACTAGTGGCTACAGTCTTTAGCCTCCTTGTTAGTGTGTCCACCTCCCATGCCGGAGACCCGGGTTCAAGACCCATTCGGAACGAGGTGTAGCGGAGGGTGAGGAGGGGGAGGGGTTAAATATATATTACTCTATATATCTATATTACACATATATCTCTTTTGAGCAATGTAATGCTCCCTTGCTAAATAAGTATTAATTAAATTAATTAGTTAATTTAGTTAATTAATTTAATACTATATTTAATATATTAATAACTTAAAACAAGAAAACAATTCTTGTTTTTGATTATTTTTCTTACCCCTTAGGCAGATACAGTATTTTTTCTTGTTGTAAGCAAAAACTAACTAAATTCTGATAATTTTTTTAGAAAACAAGAATTAATATCTAAAGTCATTTTGCTTGTCAGGTAAATGCATCTTGATTCAAGAATGTTTAGATATTTATACTAGAAGACAAGACAAATAAGTAAGAAAATCATTTTTTTGCAGTGTATGTAAGCAGTAGGCATCAAGGCAGCTCACTAGGTAATGGAAATGAGCTTTTCTCTCACACACAGACTGCTGGTTTGATGCTTTTCTAGCTGCCTAGCTCTGTTGTTCACTAGCAAAAAGTAGCTTGCCATCCAGGAACACCTTGTTTGGTGAAGCTAGTAAGCTAAGGTGGTCAATATGGGTATCACACTAGCAACCAAAACACAACACGCTGGTGTTTTCAGTAGGGCACTTTTAATTTTATTCCCATTTCTTACTTTCTGTCCCTCAATTTCCCATTCTTACTATTAATCTTGCCCCTGCTCGCTGTATCCAGCAGTCAGTCAGTCTCACTCTCTGCTGAGAGCCGGCATTATGTTTCAGAGGCAGTGCTGTAGTTATGACGGCAGGCCTGTATATTGAAGGCAGCTAGGTGCGACCGGCTCTCCTGGGGCTCATTTAGAAAGGTGTACTTTTATAGCGTTAGTATTCTGGGCCTGTGTGCGAGAGTGGTTAAACGCATCCGAGTCAAGCGGGTTATAAGCCAGCTGTGCCATTCTGTCGCAACAAGGGAAAAAAAGATGGTGACTCTGAAACAATGGCATTGTAATCGACCTGAGACCAGCGCTGTGGACATCACACTACGATGTGAGCATGTTAAATCAGTGGTTATCAATGTTTTGACTCAAAGGTCCCCATCTCCACAACAATTTTCAAATACCCCCTTGCCCTCAGCTTTTTTCAACCAGTTTTTAATCGATTTACACTCCTAGTTTCAGCTACTTAAAAAAGTTCAATAATTATAATTCAAATAATTTAATTGCAGGATTCCAGAAGTTTTAGGAACTGAATGTTCTTCAGGGTTCCCATTGTTTTTATGCAATGAATTTGCATCACTCTTGATTGTTCATTATTTACTAATTAAAAATTAAGGATAAGGACATCATTTTTATTCAGCATGTCTGCTGAAGTATTTGGCATAACTAATAACTTGTGCATTCGTTTTAAAAAGGTATTTTCGAGGTATAGAATTCACATTTCTAACATTAGGTTACATCATTTATCCAGGTATAAAAAAAAAAGGTTTCCAGTATATAATAATTTATACATATGTCTTCATACCTCAAGCTTGTAGTCTGTGACTGATGTTGCATGCTGTTCCAAATGAACATATGTGACCTGGACCACAAAACCAGTCATAAGTAGCAGGGTCACATATTTTGTCAAGTAAAGTGAACTACAGATATCCTCTGCTGACTATGAAGGATGCAGTGAACTCTGTTTAGGGACAATGCTTTAAATCGTAACGCAGTTTGTATTTCATGAGTAGAAATCTCCCAGAAGGCCACTTGCTTTGTTCTGGTGAGCTGCTTAACTTTGGGATTAACCCTCCAGAAATTATGAGCAAACTTTGACGAGCGGGGATTTAAAACTAAAGTTGTAAAACTTTCGAATGTCACCTACAATCAGAGGGAAGACACCTTTCGCTTGGCTCTCAATCCTCAATCGCTGTCGTAGACACACTGGGATTGATAGAGATCAAAGGTCACGAGTGTTCAGAGACTCTTCTGCGCTCATAGATGAAAACCTCAATCTCAGCAAGTCCGCAGATGAAGGTACCTGCTAGCGTCTGATAAGCTCAGAGCTGTTTGCTTCCCCATCTCCCATCCGACGCGCCAACACCACAGTCGCGCAGCTATCCGTCAGTCAAACTCTAGCTGCTCAGCCCAGCTGTCAGTCAAAGCCCATCTTTTGACAGTTGTGGTGAGTGGCTGGGAGAAATTCAATCCACAACACTGCAATCTGACCACAAAGCATCTACAGAAGGTGGAGGGAGGGGATTTAGAAGAAGAGAGAAGCAGAAATCAATCTGCAGAACCTCCTAAATTTAGCCGCACGATCTCCAGAGTCCTCATAACAGCGGCTATAGAGAGCAGAATCATGAAAAAGGATCAATCAGAGACTCTTTTTATTTGTTCACAGTGATAGGATTGAGTTTGCTCAGACCTCTGGGCTATTTGCAGAGCTTAAAGCTCACCTGTACCCTTCCCCATGGATTCACCTGGACAACACACCAAACATTTGTATTACTAGGAAATGATTCACACTGTGTTAATAAAAGCAGACTTGTTTTTTTGCTATCCTGGCGGATATTAAACTGGTAAATCAATAGGTGATGCATTTCCTTGTTATTAGCGCTGCATCTCCGGCTCCTCTTTACATTTGTTGAACTAGGGGAAATGAATAATGGCTGGACCCTTGCATGGTAGCTATAGCAGTCTCTTTTGACAGGACTAGACTGCACTTTTTAATGGCTGTTCATACTGACAGCAGTGTATAGTGACAAAGCAATGGCAGATATAATCTTAGCAGCAATATTTTCAAAGTGTATCTCCAGTTACGCAGCCCACCAGTATAAATAGCATAACTACTTCCAGTGTCCAGCGATATGGCTTAATGATCTCCTGTGTCAAAATTGCTGTCAGTTGAACAGTGCTTTAACACTTCCCTTCGCTTAGGCAGTTTGATCTATGTTCATATTGATCAGGCCATAATGCCTGCGGCACAAAATGCAATGAAGAAGCTTGTTGTGGTGGTTTCCTGAGGGAGCAGTTTTGGTTTTAATTTGTTGAAGTCTGTTTGGTCTCTGGGCTTGTGTCTGTGTGAGAAGGAAAAAGGTGACAGCAGATGAAAAATACAAATTCACAATCAGGGCTTCATGAACCAATTAATTTTTTTATTGTATTTTTATTTATTTATTTATTTTTTTTAATGATTTTATTTATTTATTATTTTATTTTTATTGAGTTATTTCAGGGTTCCAGTGATGCTTGTGGTTCACTTGGTGAGATAACAACTGAAAAAAAAATTTTTTTTTTATTTAATATGTTACATTTTTACTAGATACTATTACATTTTATAAGCATAAGACATTCTAGTGCATTGGTAAACTAGACCCATGGTAAATACAGGTATATCATTTTTTATCATGTTGGTATCCGCATGAAAAAAAAATTAATGATTTGCAAATCTGAATGGATTGGACAACATTTGTTGTTTCAACAACATTGTTTCTAGGTTTTTTTAATGTTTTGATTTAGTTTTATTTTTGTGTTATCCTTTTTTAGATGTGTATGTAGATTTTTAGTGTATATAGTGTATATAGATTAATTATTTAAAATTTATGTTTAGTTATTTTACTATACCAAGTTCAACTAAAAAAAAAAGTTATAGCTAGCTAAATAATCTAGCTATCTGAACTAAAATATTTTTTGTATTTCATTTCTGTATTTTATTTTATTTTGGTTCATTTTTATTATATTTTAAGATGTGCTTTTTATGGGTTTGGTTTTAGTAGTTTAGTTATAGTTTAGTTATAATTACCCGGCTGCTAAAGCAGTTTTTTACCATAGTTGTTCTTCCTCATTCAAAACCCACATCTAAAGGGGTGTGACACTTCTAATCGCATGCAGTCCGGTCTCTACACCATTGTAATTAATAGGTCTGTTTATTAAAAAGCACAGAGGGCATCCACAGATTCACTCAGATCAATACTGAAGCCCCTTTAACTGTTTTTCATTTGTTTACCGCTGTTCCTGATATTTCAGCAACTATGAGACATTTTGTTCCATTTGATGTGCGTTTTATGTTCATGAATGTTTTCCTAGTGTTTGCGAGAGTTTCATTAAATGGCTGTAAATGTCAAGTAATGCTCTCTCTCCTCTACAGAATGGTAAATCAAGCTTAGCTGCTTCATCAGCGTTAATTGCCTTTATTTCAGACATAAAAGAGTTTGGATACAATGCCAATAGACAGAGGACTCAATATAAATAAATCAACATGTAAACAAACAGTGCCGATGCAGAGAGCGAGAGCGATTAGAAGGCAGTTAAGTGACTGACTGGTCTGTTGGTACGGTACAGTGTCAAACACTGTAATTGGACGGCTGTCTCAGCCCGCCACCTGCTTAGAATGAAAAACGGCTCTGGTTGTGAAATAAATACTTGATATTCTGCCCATATGTTCATCAGAAGCATCATAATTAGTGGTGCTTTTGTCTAAATCCATAGCCTTAATGGAATAATTCACACAAAATTAAAATTCATTCATCCTTTACTCACCATCATTTTATTCCGAACATGTATGACTTTCTTTTTTCTGTGGAACACAAAAGAATATTTGATATTTTTGGCCATAACATGGAAGTCAATGGTCAATAAAACTGTTTGGTTACCAGTATTGTTCAAAATATTTTCATATGGGCATTTTAAGTGTCGAACTTTGGCCTGTTTTTGCTACAATCATTAATAACACCTCAAATTACACTCTTAAAATAAAGGTTCCAAAAGAGGGTTTTCACAGCAATGTAATAGATTTGAAGAACCATTTTTGTTCTTAAAAGTTCTTAAAATAACTTTTTCCAAAAAAAGGAACCTTTTGTGGAATGGAAAGTTTCTGTGGATGTTAAAGGTTCTCAATGGAATCGTCAATGCTAATAAAAAAAAAACTTTTTAAGAGTGTGTTCTAATCGATTAGGACATTGGATTTTTGCCTGGTGGGCAATAAAACTGTTTAAAAACCTTCCAACATGGAGATTTTGGCTAGGTAATGATGGCGCAAACATCCAGAACACCCTAGCACACACACACAGCAACACATCAAAGACTATTCAAAACACCTTAGCAGAGACAGTCAATGGACAGTTCCACATGGACAAACACCACTCATAAGTATTAAAATCTCTTGAGTCTCTGTGCAAAGAGTACTGAATTGTAAATCATCACGGTTCTGTTAACAGCAGGTGTCTGGTTCATGTAATCTGCTGTGTCAATGTGTTAGTTCTCTATGGCGCCGTCCAGGCCAGCCTGAACTCCCCCTGCTGTAGATGACTAATCCTTGTTGAGGATCCACAGCAGTCATATCGATCGACACTAACACATCCAAACTGTCTCAATATGTCACCAGGCTCCTCAGAAAGCACTTCAAACAACACCATCGAGCAGTGAACTCACACACACACACACACACACACACACACACTGACTGATCCACACCCGATCAAATCCAACTGCCCTCTGGAATCACTTCAACCAGCGCAAAGTACAATATATCTGTATTAGCGCTGAGTCTGCAGGCTAATCTGTTGTGTTTGTGTTTGCAAGGAGAGCTGTGCGGCTACTTGGCATGTTTCCATTAACAAATCTGCTTGTGTTTCTAGCTAATGTTTGTCCATGGTGTTATCGCAGTAGCTTGCCCTCATGTTTATTAACCAAACTAATTCCATTTATTTCAACATCGGCATCTTCTGGTGAAATCAATACTGTTATTTTGACACTACAGCACATATTGAGCGAGGATTTCCCATTAGCGTTCCACACAAGTTGTTCTCTTGATCTGTGTTTTATTTTGATAGTGGACAGCAAATTTTAATTTGGGGAAAACTTTTTAGAAAAAAAAAATTGATTCATGAATAGATTCACTGCTTGCACACTGTTATAATGGGGTTAAACTCTTAAGGCCTGTTCACATCAAGAATGATAACTATAGCAATTATATTAGCATCCACACCAATGGACAGTTATATTTTGTTTATTGTAAGCATATACTGTAGTCATCTAGTGCTTTAAATGCTTTAGCTTGTTAGCCAGGTGGATAGTCAGGTGGATGCTGATTGGCTAGTTTCATAGGTATAGTTATCATTATAGTTCTCGTATTTACTGCTGCCCTTCAGTTTCTTCTCTGTGTTTGGAAAGTTGATAAAAGTTGAAGTAAATGCAGTTTTAGGGACATTATCCAAAAATATGGTATAATGTTCAGAGATGACACAATCAGTATTTCCACATCTTGAAATAAATGTCACAACTGATTCCAGCCCACGTAAGGATAGTATCCAATCAAATTTTTCATTGAAAATCACACTGAACTCCCTAGTTTATTCCTTTGGGATATTTTGTAAAGCTTGTGAGAGTTAGCAACAGTAACTAAGGGAGGCGGACCATAGAGAAGTGTAATTTCCCACCTTTTACTGTTTTTTTTTTTTTCTTCTGTATGTGTGTGCGTTTTTCCATCTGATGTTTCATGCCAATTAAATAGAATCAGAAGCATTGCTTTTTACAGTGATTAATTTTGCATATGCTTTTATCCAAAGTCATTTACAAATGAGAAAAAACACAGCAGTTCATCATCAGGAACTAACAATATTCTGTTAGTATTCAGTATCTTTGTTGTTGTTGTTGTTTTTGAACAATATCAATTAATCTCTCTTTCTGTGTCTGTATCTTCAGTGCTTTGTCTGATGAAGGTCAGGAGATACTTTTGAGTCCAGAAGTAACATATGGCCCTCCTGGCCTGACCCTTTCCTGCCCTGTTGCCTTGACAGTAGCCCACTGTGCAGATGTGAGTTCAGAAGACTGGAATATCAAGCTTAAGAGACAAACCCAGGACAACAGCTGGGAGGTAAGAAAAATCTGACATAAGAGTGTCTTTAACTATTTAACTTTTTAAGTTTTTAAAGGGTTAGTTAACCCAAAAATGAAAATTCTGTCCCTTATGTCATTTCAAACATGTAAGACCTTCGTTCGGAACACAATTTAAGATATTTTTGATGAAATCCGAGAGCTTTCTAACTCTCCATAGACAGCAATGCAACTACCACATTTAAGGCCCAGAAAGGTCGTAAGGACATTGTTAAAATAGTCCATGTGACACCAGTGGTTCAACTGTAATTTCATGAAGCTACGAAAATACATTTTTGGCACAAAGAAAACAAAAATAACGACTTTATTTAACAATTTCTTCTCTTCCATGTCAGTCTTCGACGCACGTTTATGAGAGTACCAAAGAAACTGTTGAATGAAGTTGTTATTGTTGTTTTCTTTGCACACAAAAAGTATTCTCTTAGCTTCATAAAATTAAGGTTGAACCGCTGTTGTCACATGGACTATTTTAACAATGTACTTACGACCTTTCTGGGCCTTGAACGTGTCAGTTGCGTTGCTGTCTAAAAAGGGTCCGAAAGCTCTTGGATTCCATCAAAAATATCTTAATTTGTGTTCCGAAGATGAACGAAGGTCTTACGGGTTTGGAACGACATGAGGGTGAGTAATTAATGACAGCGTTTAAAATTTTTGGTGAACTATCCTTTTTAACTATTAGAATACAAAGCGAAGCCATTCCTTGCCTTGAATGAGTGTAAAGTCTGAATCATGTAGTTTAATGGGAAATCGCAGTGTGCTGGTAATTATAAAGAACTGTCATTCTGAAGTACGAATGCTGAAGGTTACTATATGACAGAATCAATAGATATGCCCTCTATTCCTACAACGCGCGTCCCATTGAGTGCACTTTAAGGGAGCATCTCTCTGTGCTTCTCTTATTAACGCTGTCCTTTCCCTTTGATATTTTGCTGTTCTTTATAAAAGTGGGATTTGTACCGCTCTTACGTGTTGAAAGAACTTCATCAAAGTTGAGCTGGAGCTCACTGACACAAACTGACCCTGGGGAAAACATCTCTGTTTGTGTTTGTGTAGCTGCGAGCGCATGTGTGTGCGACCTGACATTTCGGCAGACTATAATCAAACGCAGACACTAATTCAAAGACACATCACAATACCAATCAACTCCTTTTCTTTCCGTGCAAGCGAGTCATTTTGATGCCGTGTTAAAGACTCCGAGACCTCTGATGGTTGTTTGAAATAATGAGCTTTTTTCTCGCAGGCATAATGCCAGAGCAAGTGAGAGGCAGGCTGAGAGTAATGTCCCCGCAGAATCGAGAATAACACCTTTTTTGTGCGTTTTTACCGTGTGTGTGAGAGAGACGGAAAGCACACTTTAATGTGCACCCACTGATTTGTGGGTAATAGACAATGCTTTCTGTGCAATGGCGTGTTTAGACGTGAAATATCAAGCTTTCCGCCTTCGCAAATGGTTCGGGTCGCTCCGGGGGGCAAAGTTATGCTTAGCTTCAGCTATATTCAGACGGTAAAATGGAGAGCCTGGACTCCGAGTTCCTGCTGGCCGCTACACACCCACTGTTCCTGACATTCAAATACCAGATGCATATAATAATAATCAAGCTGTGCTTCCATCTGCAGAGCTATAAAGAAAAGAGAAGCATAATTTCAGCTAAAGATCTTCACCTTTTTCTAACGTGTGTGTATATACTTTTATGCTGACTGGGGATTTTATAAAGTGAAGCGGCCTGTGAAAAGCCTCAGGGTTGCCAAAAGTAAGTAGCTGTCAGTGCTTATGACAGTGAGGCCTTACTTTGCATTAAAAGCAATTGAACCGTGTTAACAGTCGATCAGCATGGAAGCCGTTCTTGGATGTGGATCTGATCTCTTAATCGTGTTTGTACTATAAACATTACAACATATCATATATCATTTATGGTAAATTGTAAATGTTTTAGCTGAGTTTTTAAAAAAAAAAAATGTTACTCTTGGTTGGAATGTGTTTTTGTCGCTGGTGTTGCAGTTAAGTGAAGGTAATGGGAAGCAGTAGCACCACTCATGAATTTGACAATTGTGGTGGTTTTCAAGATGAGGGAAGGCTATTCAAAAACAGTCATTCTAGCGCTGATCGTGATCAAATGTTCAAAAACATTTCATTAACAAAACAGGGTTTTCTCACACACACACACACTCACAAAAAAGCAGCATAAGGAAGTTTAATTTTAGTTTAAATTTAATATTTGTTCATTTCATTTATTTATATTTATATCGTGTTTTTATTATAATATTAATAGTATATTACTGTAATAAATTATAATTTAATAAAATAAATATAAATACATTTTCCTGATTATATCAATACTATATAGTATCATGTTATAAATTATATTTTAATAAAATATATAGGTATAAATTAAAGAAGATATTAAAATAAATATAAAATAAATAAATAAATAAATAAATATAAAATTATAAAACACTTTATGTATACAATTATTATTATAATTATTTAAAAGGTTAATTATTTATTTGTTGTCAAATATAGTAAATGTCATACTTTTTGCTACTTTTTTTTTTTACTTTTTTAAAACTGGAAAAAAATTTATACTCAGCCACACTACAGAACAATGCATATTGTCATGCAGTGACTGTCAAAATTAAAAGTTATAAATAGTTAAAAATGTTTTATAATGTATACAGCTTTGTGTAGTATTGTGAAGAATTGCAGACTTTTGCCATCTGAAAATGAATGACATCATCAGGCATGTCCTAGATCACATCATTTACATGTTTACAACTTTCAAAACTGTTTTTGTCTACTGAAAGTTGTATTTTTTTATTTTTTTATTTTTTATTTTTTCTGGAAGACACTTCTTCAGCTGAACAACCGGTATGTTGTTAAACAACAGTACAATCCATTGAACGCACTGTACTTCTTTCCCTCAAAGCTTTGTTTTTATTCCTGTCAAAATTAAATATGGTGCTACCCTGACTAAGGTCTGTTGCAGTCTATATTAGTCTATTGCCCTCTGAAAGAGAATTACATTTATCAGTCACCTCAGTTGTCCCTAATAGCAAACCCTAATGTAAACGCAGTCATACTGCGGAAGTCTTGTACATATGATGCACCAACAGTTGGATTTTGTGTGTTTCTGACAGGAGGTCATGACTGTGGAAGAGGAGAGCACCTCTTGTTACTGCCTGTTGGACACTCAGTGCTGCCACCTGTTGGTGGAGAGACCGGGGTGTTACGCTTTAGTGGGAGAGGCCCTCACACAGGCGGCAGGGAAGAGACTCCGACTGGCTGCTTTTGGAAACATGGAGCCCAACTTCCTCAACTACAGCATTCGAGTGTACTGCGTCGATGATACGCCCCATGCCTTTCAGGTGTGTAAAGACAGGTTGTGTTTCGGATGCTGATGCACTAGTTAAGAAGCCACTGGTTTAGTCAAACCAATTCATGCTGGTCCTAACTGGTCTTTCCATAGGGTGCCTTTTTGGCTTTCACAGATGTAGGCTTCTTAAATGTCATGATACATATCCCCTTCACTGCATATGGCATTAGATGGAAGTCCACGGCTTATGGGATATTTGCATTCATGGGGCAGCGTGTTATGGCTAGCCGTCATGCCCTGTGGGTACTCTGGTTTTACGCTCCACTGAAAGTCAGCTGGACCAATCTCTCTCTCTCTCGTGCACACACACATCTCCAGCTAACTGATAGAATAGCTTCTTAAATTACAAAGACATGGTGAGCCACTCTTGCTTCATACATTCACTACGTGACTGAATATTTTCTGTGAGCTAATTAAAAGTGATTTACATTCTGTTAGGCGTGACGTCTAGCTGAGTGGACACAGCTTCAGAGAAGTCTTTGTTCTGCGCACACACGGATCTTACAATTTCTTCACTTTATGAAGAAAACATTATATGTCATTTATATTTAATGTTTCACATGGATCTTTTCTTCTTGGTTATGGAGATGTGGAGATGTCTTTGTGTTGCATTGAAGCCTCAAGACGTACACAAACTAAATTAGTGGCGTTATTTTTCTCTCCAAACACACACACAAAATACTGAAGTCTGGATTGTTTTTGCACTCAAGCTAAATTAATAAACTTTAATATATGTTGGGATATTATTATGCCTTCAGAAAGGTACCAGAATTGAATTTTACAGTTCAGTTTGACATCACAAGCCCTGTGTTAAAGGCTGTGAAACTACAAGATTTGTCCTACAAATGTACAGTTTCCCAGCGTAAGGAACAAGTGGATAGTTTATTTTTAATGGCACCCTGGATCGTGTCAGAGGATTGTTCAGAGTATTTTGTTTTGTAAATGAGGCACAGTGTCATGGAGAGGTCACAAAGAAACATTTGTTGAAAGATGAAGCGGTACTAGATCTGACTGCAGCTGCATCACAAACCGTAAGTAAATAATTTCATAATGCTTTGCCTGGAGAAATTACCATTTTATTTTGATTATGTTGTCAAAACACTCACTTGCAATAGTGTTTATACTGTTTCCTATGCAATGACGCTAGCCAATCATAACAGTGGCCAATTACTGCCAAGCCTTAAAGGACACGCCCCTTAAAACAGGTCGTTTTAGACAAAGGGTCAGAATGATGGTTGAAAATAATACACTTTCCACATTTATTTGTTTTTTTGTGCAAAAAAACTTTATTAACATTATAAGTAAACATCAAGGAACATATTAAAATAATAAAAAAATCCATGTCATGACCCCTTTAATAATTTTATGGAAACCTTGATAGACTTATTTCCAGGATTGTTTGATTAATAGAAAGTTCAAAAGAACAACATTTATTTGAAATAGAAATCTTTTGTAATTGTAGAAGTCTTCGCTGTCACTTTGATCAATTTAATGCAGCCTTGAAGAATTTTCAATCTCAATCAAATTCCAATCTTTTTTTAAAACTTACCAATGCCAAACTTTCGAACGGTAGTGTATGTTGGGGAACCCCAATGGATCTTGTAGAATGACCTGTGTAATGTCTCAATAAAAATGCAGACCTGAGGGTTAGGTGAAGTGTATAGACAATACCATTAGCTCAATATAAACACAATAGAAGTCAATGGAAAGTCTCCACCATGACAGAAAAAAAAAACGCGCGTGTGTGACAGATCTCGGTTCTGTGAAGTCTTCTTCCCAAAAAGGACACACCCACGAGTGAATGGTCAAAGATTGTATTTCTCCACACCAAAGCACTCTTCCACTTTGTTTATCCAGCCGTTCACCCACCGTTTTTTCTTCTTTTGTACTCTTTGTTGTCAGCGTTGTTTGCATTTCACAAAACAGCAAATGAATTCCTCCCTGGAAACTGAACTAATTCAGGCCAGGATCGATCAGCAGCCATCACAGCAAGAGACTGTTTTCCTGTCTTTTGTGACCGAGAGAGAGAGAAAGCGAGAGAGAGAGACCTAATGCTTTTAATGCTACTGTGACGCATTGTCAACAATTCCCACAGAATAGATGCAAAGAGCACAAAATCACCCGTGCCTTTCATCAATGCCGATTCTATCCATCCAGTGTCTCTCGCTCCTGTTCTGCATGCCATTTTGTGTGTGTGTTGCATTTGTGCACAGGGGAAAGGTAGACAACGTTCATTGTATTCGACCGAGATGGTAATTGAAGGCATTGTACCTTTAGATTTATTAGTTGATGTGTTGCCAGATTTTGTTTTGTTTTTTTATTTTTTATATTAAGCCCAGGGTGTTATTGTAATTCCATTCTTGTAGATGAAAAATGCAATGCAGGCATTTCTTCGACCTGTTTGTTGGTCTTGGGGTTGGAAACGTCAGCCTCGCGTTGAGGTTTTTAATCACTTTCCGCTTCATCTTCTCAGGTTATGAAGATTAAAGGTGCCGCCATACCCAGGAAATAGCTGTTGTGTAGCGTAGGAGGGCTGTTTTTCAGCTGAATAATTTAAACATGAGCAATCAGTTGAGATCTGTTCCTGGTGTAGGGTATTGTATGTGTCAGGATGTGTTTATGCATGAGCGTTTATATCTTTATTTACTCTTCCTCGCAGGAGGTGGTATCCGTGGAACGGGGGCGAGGAGGGCGCCTCCTGGAGGAACCCAAGACCCTGCTCTTCAGAGCGAACTCTTTTAGCCTGCAGGTCTCCATCCAGGACATCCCCCAGTTCCTGTGGAGCATCAAACCTTTCACCACCTGCCAGGTGCTGTCCTCATGAATATGGATGCCAGCTTTGTATGAATATGCATGAGTTAATAAATATGCAGATGAGGCTGAATATTAATGAGATGTCAAATTCCAGTGTTCATTTGACTGGTCGTATGAATATTAATACGGCTCTCTTTAAGGTAGTTTAGCCAGAGGCCGTGGTAGGAATCCGGTGTCTTTTTCCTGGAGATAAGGATGTTAACTGTATGGTTTTACAGGATGGTTTTACAGGAAGAATGATTTTAATGGACAAATTGCATAAATGTGATATATTACTCTCGTTTTTCAAATCCCCCAAACTTAAGTATTATAACTTTGGCGCAAAATACCTCAAATCAAGTGCTTAGATGCTCTTCAAAACAATTTTCTCTCACCAAACAATCAAAAAATCCCTTAAACTTGTGAAAATGGGACCCAAATCATATTTAATGCCCTTCATAGAGCTTATTTTGACTTGGGCCATAACAACATCCTAGCAAACGCATAGCAATGCTCTGGAAACCATCCAGAACACGTTAGTATCATGGTGTCAGGTTTAGCATTGACAAGCAGCACTCTCTATCTAGTTTTATTTGCTACACCAGCAGAGCTATATTTCAGTATTCATATTATTTTGTCAAATTGTTTCTGTTTTTGGATGACACATTCTCAAGAGTGTTTTTCTCAATGCTGTTTACCCACCATTCCTTTCTTCGTAAAGCTTTATGACTGCAGGCGCATTTTTATCCAAATCATACCCATAGCAAGCCCTGTTTTGTCATACTAGGCTGTGTTCTGGCAGGGCAGTCAGTGACATGACACTAAGTAAATTAGCGTCAGCGGCTTCATCAGCAGAATAACAATAAGGAGGAGAGGAGAAGAGGCACATATGGTTCCTGCTAAAAATATTCATATCCTAATGTTTCCTTCTTCTTTTGGTGCAGGAATTCTCCTTCTCTCAGGTGTGGTGCAGTAGCCAGTCTCCTCTGCAGTGTGCCTTTTCTCTGGAGCGCTACAGTCCAGCAGCCAATCAGCTCTCCTGTAAGATCAGTGTTCGGCAGGTCAAAGGTCATGAGCAGATCCTACAGGTCTACACCACCATTGCTGAGGTATGGAAGATTAAAACTCACATAATAAAAACACACTAAATATTGAAATATTGACAAAGTGCAATAGAGATATCTTGTGGTGTTTGGAATATTGATGGTCCACTTACAGTATTTTTAATATAGTGGACCTCTGACATTTTAAGAGTGAGTGAAACCTAAAATCTGGTGATGATTCTGATGCCAAAAAAATAAAAATAATTAGAGCTGTCAATTGATTAAAAAACTAATTAATAACACATCAGGGGCAGTCGTGGCCTAATGGTTAGAGAGTTGGATTTGTAACCCGAAGGTCGCGGGTTGAGTCTCAGGTCCGGCAGGGATTGTAGGTGGGGGGAGTGAATATCCAGCACTCTCTCCACCCTCAATACCACGACTGAGGTGAGACCCAAGCACCGAACCCCCAACTGCTCCCCGGGCGCCACAGCATTGGCTGCCCACTGCTCCGGGTGTGTGTGCGTGTTTGTTCACTACTCACTGCTGTGTGTGTGCACTTGGATGATATTGAATACAGTGTATTGTTGGCTATTGCTACAAATATACCCATGCTACTTATGGTTTTGTGGTCCAGGGTCACATTAAAGGGTAATAAAATCAGATGAGATTAGAAATCTCACAGAACATTAACTATGAGTAAAGACTGTACAAATTAAACAATAATAATGTTAGCACTGCTTTCATGCACTCACTTTACTTTCCGATACACTCATCATGTATTAGATCAAATTGAGGTTGTTCAAATAAATGAATGGTTTTTTTAGCCCAGAGTCGATTATTCAACAATAACTGGTTTCATCACCTTAAACGTGTCATGTCCTCCAGGTTTGAGTGCAGTGATTGAATAGCATTATATTGAATTGAAAAAAAATTAATTGCACAATTAACATGTCAATTTTGACAGCCCTAATTATAATACAAATATCATATTTTAATCAGTCAAAAATTTATATCACTGAAGTCTGTTATTGGTTTATTGGTGTTTTAACTGGATTTTGAAAACAAAAAATTGACAAATTCCCAATTTTTTTTTTTTGATTTGAAATGTGCATTTCCTGATCGTTTTATCGCAATTTAACCCCTCTGTGAACCCCTCTAATATGTCATTGTGATACTGTTTTCCTCCAGAATGAAAAAGACACCGTGCCATTCTTCACACAATCAGACTGTACCATCACCTCTCAAACGGGATCCAGGGCCTTCAAAATCCCCCTGTCCATTCGCCAGCGAATCTGTGCCACCTTCGACACAGCGAATGCCAAGGGCAAAGACTGGCAGCTCTTAGCGCAGAAACTGCATATAGACAGGTGAGAAATTATGCAGAAACACACAGCAGACATGCTTTGTCCATAAGCAAGCATACAGAAGGATGACATACATGCTCAAATACAAACATATGGACTCCCTCGCGTCTAATTTGCTACATATTCTTCCAGCACATGGTCGCATTAACCTTCGGCAAAGCCACAGGCAGTAACTATGGGGCTGTAATGAGATCGAACTCATGCATCCTGCAACTGCCAGTTCCAGGAAAACATACCTCTCATCTATGACAATAAATGAACACAGATATACTCACCCTTAAAGGGACAGTTCACCCTAAAATGCAGATTCTGTCATTATTTACTCACCCTCATGCCATTAAAACCTGACGTGCTTTCATCTAACAGTGCCGTATTTGAATGCGAGACTGATAGCAGAGGGCTATTTTTTTTTTTACTCTTTTTTTTTTTTTTTTTTTTTTTTTTTTTTTTTTTTTTTTTTTTTTTTTTTTTTTTTTTTTTTTTTTTTTTTTTTTTTTTTTTTTTTTTTTTTTTTTTTTTTTTTTTTTTTTTTTTTTTTTTTTTTTTTTTGTCTGTGGGTTTTATTTATATATATTCAATTCAATTCAAAATTGCTTTATATATAGAGAGAGAGAGAGAGCGAGAGAGAGAGAGACATGATAGATAGATAGATAGATAGATAGATAGATACCTTACCATTTAAAGTAATTAACTGTTTTAAAGTAATTAATACTTTTATTCAACAAGAATGCATTAAATTTATCAAAAGTGACAGTTAAGACTTTTACATTGTTACAAAAAAAAAAGTTTCAAATAAATTCTGTTCATCTGAACTTTCTATTCGTCAAAGAATCCTGAATACATTGCTTCACGGATTGCACAAAAACATTAAGCCGCACAACTTTTTCAACACTGATCAGCTTATTAGAATTTTGTGTTAAATGATTTTTTGAAAGTGAATGAATTTGTGAACTCTCCCTTTCAAAACAGTTTGATTTCATTTATGTGTAACATGAATGTGTTTGTACATTCATTCAGATCTCTTTGTTATTAAAATACCTTTTCTGCTCTTTCTTCCGCTCAAAAACATGGTCTTCTGCCCAGCTAGCAATTTTTAACAACAGTTTAATTTACAAGCTGCCTGTTTTTAATTATTTACATTTCCCATGGTGATTTCAAAAATGTTTAAAAACACTGTACAAACAGACCCTCCGATCAAAATGTCCAAGAGGTCTTGAGTTTAAAATCTGTCACATGTTTATTCGCTTCACTGCAGCTGAGGATGAATCAAACTTTCTTTCGTAATGTGGATTTACTTTTGTAATATTTTCACCAGGGATAAAAGACAGAGTTGTTTTTGAAATGAGGCTGGCAGAGTCGGACAGAAAGATTTAGGGGAATTTTCTAGCTGGTCAGAGCCCCAGGCAGTGTGTAATGAGAATGTCTCCTCCTTGTTAAGCGGATTTCTGCAATTACCTTCTGAGGATGTGCAAGCTCGTCTAAACAGCGCAGAGGGCAATTACCCAGAGAGCTGCGGCGCAAGCTGTTGTAGCGCAACACTGCCCCCTGCTGGAGTCCGAATACTCACAGAAAATCAAAGAATTACATTGTTTACATCGCGCTGCGGTATATTGTTGATGGACTCTGGGTAATAATGGTGAGGTAAAATATCCTGCTGAAAATGTTTTGAAATCCAGCATGGCATGTTTTGTGACCTCAGCGGGCTGTTTAACCAGCGATATCACCAGTTTTATCCATCCAGACTATCATAACCTGCTTGGAAATGGTTAATTTTCTAGCTGTTTTGACTTCACTGGCTGATGTGACTCTTTTTTTTCTAAAATAACTTCAATGCAAGGTCAACACAAGGTCAACAGGAAGCGAGATGAAACCAAGCTGCATTAAAATGTGGAGGCAGAAGATGAGCTATGTCTGCGTCTTTAAGACACACACCTGCAGAACTGTGATTTCCGCTTCTGTGATTCAATTATGTCTCAAAGATAGGTTGATTTTCTTCCAGCAAAACTTCTTTAATATCCTTCTCGCTTTTATAAACTAATTTAACCATTTTGATAGGTTGTTGGGGCATACAGGCATTACAGGATAACATTATTAAATTGAAAGTTATGCAGACTGAGAATCCTTGCAATAGAGTGTAATAATTCAGTGTCTTGGCGGAAATATATGCATTTATGTAACCAAACTTGTGGGTTAGCGCAATACGAAATAAAAAATATAAACACTGTGCTTATTCACAGATTTAAAAACAGCTATTTGTTACAGCATTTATATATCTAGGTTAATGGTTTTATATTTACATTTATAAATATTGTATTTGTAAATTTACCATATTTTTAAATATACTGTTCAAATGTTAATTCATAACGCGTTAACTTTTGTTCATTTATACTTTTATCATTTTAACTTAAAATCTAAACGTGTATTAGTTTGTGTAGAAATGAATTTGAATTTAGATTAATAAATGCTGTAAATATTGTTGGTTCATGATACCTAATGCATTGTATGTTGGTTACACTTTATTTTAAGGTGTCCTTGTTAAGTACTGAGTAATATTTATTAACTACATGTACTTACTATAGGGTTAGGATTAGGGTTTGGCTCAGGGTTGCTTGCATGTAATTATGCATAATTTATTGTTATTATAATAGTAAGTACATGTAACATATGTAACAACGACACCTTAAAATAAATTGTTACCCTAATGTTAAAATTGTAACCTTATTATAATGTTTTAACGGTATTTTCTGTTGTCTTGGGCTTCACATGACATGAATATGTAATAGGTTGGATTTTATAGACCAGTAATAAACTTAAAAATGTATAAAATACCAGTTACTTAAATTGTTTTACAAACACAATTTCATTAGCATTTCACTTCACCTCCTCACCATGCACAAGTCCTAAATATTTAAAAGTTATCATTTGACATTTGTCCCTGCTTGTTTAGTCGTTTTTTTTATTCAGTTGTTGCAATTGTAATTTTGTTCTGTTCACATTGTGCGGTTAATCCAAGTTTGTCCTTCGTCTTTTTCTCACATACAGAAACCTGGGTTATTTTGCGCGCCAGACAAGCCCGTCCGCTGTCATTCTGAGTTTATGGGAAGCTCAGCATCAGGAACGAGGTGATCTGGACTCTTTGGCCAGTGCTCTAGAGGAAATCGGCAAAGTTCAGTCTAAACACTCCACCAGCGCAGACACTCTGGACCGCATCAGCAAAACCATCCCCTCCAGCGACTCCACCATGAACCGCAGCAGCGAGGAGCTCGACGCGAACCACACCTAAGAACAGTTTCATTGGAAATGAAGACTAAAACACTGTCCTTATCGGAGATAAGAGGGTACGACGAAGGGAGAGAGGAGGCGGCACTTTAAGAGGTTGCAAAGAGTTGCTCCTCCCTCTCCTTTACTGATAAAAACAGGGTGTTAAAGATGGGTTGTGACCATAGACAAGCTTCAGTGATTCACAGATACTCACACACGTACACAGTATTCCTATCAAATACCCTTAAACGCATCAGAACAAACTGACACTAAGCCTGTCTGATGAAAATTTGCAGCTGAAGATTGTGGGTATGCTTTCGCGATCGTTTGTTTCCATAAAGGCAAACTGAGAAATTACAACAGCCTAAATGTTAACTTGCGACCACAGACCGGGCTGCCTCGATGCTTCAGAGTGTTGAAGAATGTGTCGTTGTTTTTGTGGGACACTTTTAATTTGCGTCTTTCTGTTTGAAAACCACAATGGTCGTCTGCATTTCTGAGTAACTTTCTGATTGCAAATAGATTTAAAAAAAGAAAAAAACATCTGTACTGAATACTATTAAAGCCTGTTGCATAGCAACCAGTGTAAACTGAAAGATGTACTCAAAGATAACCAAAACAAAACATTGTTATACATTTACTTTTGCAGCCTATCGAAATATATAATTATTATTGTTGTTACTTTTTGTCTGAAGGAGGGAATATAAAAGAAAGCAGAAAATGATAATGCTTAATGAGAAAGTTCGATTTGAGGTAAGGAATATCATTAAAAATGTAAAGGGACAGTTCACCTAAAGAAAATAGCCTAGAAATTCTTCAAAATCATAAAAGTACTTCTTGTAACTCATCACTATATCTCAAGACTTCTAAAGTCATATTACAGCTTTATGTTAGAAACAGACCGACATTTTAATCATTAGGTTCCAATTTATGGCTTGAAATCTTCTCTTGAAAAAAGAGTGACCAGTGCATTAATCAAAATTTGGTTTTATTCCTCAAAAGGAAGAAACTGGTAGAAATGAGTATGGAACAGAAGGGGGTGAGAAAAATTATGACAGAATTATTATTTTTTGGGTGAACTGTCTCTTTAAATGTTACCAAGCTGACTGCTGATTGGTCAGAATCCTTCTCTATCAGCTGTCTCTCAAAATGACAAATGATGGACAGCTGTGTGTAAAATTCATTGGATAACCCAGTAAAAATCCATCAAACATATTTTGACAGGAACCTCTGGTGGTTTGATCTGAATGTAGAGAACACACACTCATATCCTACGAGAGGAGTGATTTCCATATGTGATTTTTTTTTTCCCTTGTTGTTTTATCTTTCCTCTAAATACATCCAGTACCAGCTTGTGACCTCATATTGACCAGATGGGATCAATGATGACCACTGAAAAAGCATTTTAACACATCTCACCTGCTGGAAAACTACCGTATGCTGACAGGTGCACACGCATACATGCATAATAATGCATAGATGTATAATCAACCTCACGTCTGAAACATAAAGCGTACAGTATCCGCCGCATCTCATTCCAGGTATCGCACATCACTTGTGAAAGATGAGCTGTGTGAGAGTGTGTTGCTAATGCTAGATTATCATACAACTGTGTGAATATGTGATGAAATAGTCTGTTGCATCAGACTATAAAAAGAGATTGTACTTTTTGATATACGAAATCATTAACAAAACCTTATATATGCTGTGTCTGAGGTACATTAGGGAGGGAATGAAAGGGAAGGGAGGAAATAATGAAATAAGGAAGAGAGATGGGAAAGTAAGAGGAGAAGAGATTTGAAAGTGAAAAAGAATGGTAGGAGACATGAGGAAAGAAAAAGGGTGAGAAGAGATTTGGAAGGGAACTTATAAAATAATATTAGAGCAAATTATGAGAAAAAGGAAATGGGAAAGGGAAAAAAGAAGAAATGGGAGAGGAAATGTGTAAGGTTGAGGAAATGGGGGAAGGAAAGAAGAAGAAATGGGTAATGGAGAGGAAATTGAAAAGGAAAAAGGAGGACCAAGAGGAGAAAGGGGAAAATGGAAGGGAAATGGGAAAGGAAAAAAGAGGGAAAGTGAAGAGAAACAAGAAGAGAAAAAAAGGGAAAGGGAAGAGGAAATAGAGAGGGGAAAGATAGAGAAGAGAAGATAGGAAGATAAGGAACAAGAAGAAGGAAAGAAAAGAATGGGAGAGGATAGGAAGGAAAAAGATGAGGAACAAGCAAAGGAAAGGAAGTGATGCCAGTTTTAATGACAGAAATTTACATGCATATCTGAGCATGTGTAAACAGTACAGTTACAGGAAAGACTCTGTTATAAACGCTGCCCGTGGAGCAGAGAGCCCTCAGGCGTGTGAGAGAGAAAGACAGATGTTCTGATAGATTTATTTTATTCGGGTACATTTGTGTGTATGTGATGGTATTTGTTGCCTTCTGAAAGACTATCCATCAGGAAAAAAGAAGGACAAATTCAGTTCTTTAGGGAAAAATCGTGCTGGTGCCAGCTTAATTTGAATAAATGATATATTTACTGGCAGTGGAAATAAAAAAATGTTTTCATTACTCCTTTATAATATAATTTTATAATATATAATGCATTTGTTCTTATATATATTTTAAAAAATTGTTTTATTGTTGAGATCAAATCAGTACAGCATTTAATTGTGGACACTGAGTACCTAAATAGGCCTACTACATAGTTACATTAGAAAAAAGTAATGAAAGTCACATATGTAGAATGTAAGAGTATACAGTAGGTATGCTGATAATGGACACTTTACTATCCCATAATGCTATAGGAGCTGAGCAGCCAACACATTCAAACAATTATTTTTTTATTATTATTATTTTCTTTTCTTTATATTTTTCTTTAATTATTTAAGTGCCGGAAACTGGGAGATTGGTGCCTCTTTTCAAAAATAAGTGCTATTAGTAGCAAGAAAATTGATCCTCCTGGAAAAAAATAGCTAGAATACATCTGACATCACTCTCTATTGCCAATGCACAAAATTGGATTAAAAATGTAAAATGTCCATTTTTATTTTTATGAATAGCCTAGTGTAATAATACAAAGATTCATAGCATACTTTTGTTTGCAACTTTTATCTGTTCACAATTTGTTTTTCAAGCTATTTTAAATTATGGTAAACTGTATCCACTGCAATATTTCTAGTATTTCATTCATGGCCTGTGTTGTGTGGTTCTGCAGTAAGTGATTGTTAACAGCAGAGGGCGGCAGATAACTTGTTTTCCCCCCATTTCTCTTCTACAGCACTCTGCTTACAGCAGTGGTTCTCAGCCTTTTAGAATGTAAATTCTTGCATTGTCCACAACAGTGTTCAAAGGCACCATGACTTTGCCTGCTGTTTGTGATTTACTGGATAAGGATTAAGGATACAGATTTAAACAATGATTTTACTAAACATTTCCACCTAATACAACAAATGTATAGCCTATTCATAAAATGTATCTAAACATCCATAGAGTTAAAAGATGTTATTATTTTACATGATATTTTCAGGTTTATAATTAACAATTAGGCTAAAAATTAGGCTTCCTCACATATACATGTTTTCTAAGGCCGTGGGAATTCTTTTTTAAACTAATTTAAATTTTGTTTTGTTTCATTTTAAAACATGCTACATGATCTTAAAGGGTTAGTTCACCCAAAAATGAAAATTCTGTCATTAATTACTCACCCTGATGTCGTTCCAAACCCATAAGACCTTCGTTCATCTTCGGAACACAAATTAAGGTATTTTTGATGGAATCTGAGAGCTCTCTGACCCTCCATAGACGGCAATGCAACTGCAATGTTCCCAGGTCCAGAAATGTAGCAAGGACATCGGTAAAATAGTCCATGTGACATCAGTTCAGTCGTAATTTTACGAAGCTACAAGAACACTTTTTGTGCGCAAAGAAAACAATAATAATATAATTTATTCAACAATTCTTACGTTCAGCATGCGTTCAAATGTGATTACGTTCTGGGGTAGGCTACGCTCCAAAATGGCGGAAGACGGTAACTCGGGGAGAACTTCTTTTCGCACAAAAAGTGTTCTCGTAGCTTCGTAAAATTATGGTTGAACCACTGATGTCACATGGACTATTTTACCGATGTCCTTGCTACATTTCTGGAACTGGGAATATTGCAGTTGCATTGCCGTCTATGGAGGGTCAGAGAGCTCTCAGATTCCATCAAAAATATCTTAATTTGTGTTCCGAAGATGAACGAAGGTCTTACGGGTTTGGAACGACATGAGGGTGAGTAATTAATGACAGAATTTTCATTTTTGGGTGAACTAACCCTTTAAGGAGCATGTAAGTTTGCTGAGGCCCCCTAGTGGATCACGGACCCCTGGTTGAGAACCACTAGTTTCCAGTCAGATTATTAGAGATTTTACCATTTTTACTTTTACTAGTTTAATTTGTTTTTTAGTTTAAAGTTCTGCATATAGCACAAAAATCTGTTCTGATTCAGAAAAGTATTATTTATTGATCTCTTTGATTTCTTTGTTTATATAAAATGTTTTATCCAGTACTTTACACTTGAAATGCACTCACTCTGGTGTTTTGAAGCAAGAATACAATGCTGTTTACATTAAGGAAGGATGCCATTCCAGATGTCACAGACCTCAGCCAGTGCCGACATCTCCAGCCTGGGCCTCTGACACTCACTGAACATACGCACTTCCCTGGAGCTTCACACTCCCACTCGAAGACTTAACCTAAACAATCCAGAGCTCTGGATAACACAGGGTTTGTGTGTGTGTGTGTGAGGCGATGACTGTTTTATATAAACATCTCAGTCACCAGTCCCTTATAATTCCTACGCCGTTGCCAGTCCCCTAAAGTATTTACACTTCAATTTCAAATGTATTAATGGTCAAACCGATGGCTCCTGTAAAGTTTATATCTTCCCAGAAGAGGGAACTGCACATGTCCTGATGAAAAACTTCCCCTTTCCTTTGTGCTTCGAGGAGCCCAAATCAGATATGGATCAAGTCACAAGACACGACGGGGGAATAATTTACGCAAGGCCTCAGGCACTTTCAGGAGGTTCTAGTTTGTAAAACCACAAACATATCCACCGCACGATGCAAGTCAGTAATTACAAAACTAGCAACTCTGTTTTAAAGGACCGTTTTTATCCCTTTAAGCCTGGCCCGAGGTTGCACGTACTGTATTATACAGATGTTTTTGTGCACTCTCATTATTTTTTGTTCGTTAAATGAAGGTTTTACTGTGTTCGCGGTGTTGTGTGAGTGGGCCGCTTTGTCCCTGCTGTTCACAGGGGCAAATGAGCCTGCGACTTGAATGAACACAGCATGTCCGCCAGATGTCAAACTCTACAGGGCAACCTCCACCCTGCTTTTTCTCACCGCCTAACTACTGGGACAACTGTTCTCACTCAAATGGATAAAAGATGACTGTCTCTTTTCCTTTTTTCTTCTTCTCTCTCTCTCTTTCTCACTCTCTCAGGGCCGGATGAAAGGCCTCCCAAACACCCACTCCATTTGCATGCCATTCAGTCCAGAACACACAGGGAGCCTGTGTGCCGGAGAGAAGAAGGAGAGAGAAAAGAGATAGACGAAGAAAGAGAGAGAGGGAGAGCAGTGCACCGAGCAAGAAAGGTCACAGCTAACTGTATAACTGTACAGCAATTTTGAGCACGAGAGATAACTAGATAACGCTCAAGTATGCTTTGTGTAGTGAAAGAACGCGAGAGACAAAAAGAGGAGCAGGGTAAAGTGGAGTCATGTGAAGCTCATGAGGGCAGACCTTTCAAAAAAGGTCTGAATTGTTGCTCACTGCCTTGTTTTGCAGTTTACTTCCTTTGTAGCCTGGATACAAGCACACGCTCTCTCTTTCTTTCTGTTTTATCACTTTTGTTTTTGTAGGGAGGCCATCAGGGTTTCTGATGCAGTTGTTTGTACAATGCACTCAGGGAAAGTCATGTAAAAATGCTGCAGTAAACAATGTTTATTGGTAAGTTGTAAGTTGGTGGAAAAGTATATTAGAATTAATGGAACGAGCATGTGGTTTTACAGTAAAATATTTTTTTTTTTAAAGAATTTATATAATGTAAAATATATATAATTAATAGTGAAGTCCTGCAGAAAACACTGTTTATTGTTTAGCTGTATGTTACCTTGGAGAAAATAATATTTGATTTAATGGGACATTATTATTGTTATTATTTTACATTATATTGTT